GGGGGGGGGTGGAGAGACAACGAAGCGAGAATGGAGTACACGCTCGTGTCTCGCGATTCTTTCTATTTTGTATAACATTCGATACTTAAATAAACAACGCTCAAATATTTCACATTCGACTTAGTCAAACGATGACTTCCTAGTCAAACGATTTACTCTTACTTGCTACCTTTCCTTGCACCAACGAACATCTTTCTGCAAAATGAAATCTAACTTTCAAAGGGCTAAATTATCGAATCATTGTCTCGAACGGAAGTATAAAAAACAGTTCAGACTTTTTCAAGTTCCGCATCTTCGATCGATCTACGTTCCACGCTGCAACGCCAATAGAGGGCGTTCCATCCCAAAAGAAAAAATAAAATAAAAAATTATTGTAATAATAAAAGAAAAAAGTCTCGGAAAACTCTAGATCATGATACGAGACGACACGTAGTCTCTGTCAATGAATTGAGAACAAAACCAATTCCGATGCCTTGAACGATCGGATGCACACGGATATTCGCGAATAAAAACGCGTACAACTAAATAACAAAGGGGGCCCATCGAGACCTTGGACCCTCGCGCTCGCTATCCGACCCTCTGCATATACATACGCATATATGTATACACACATACATACACACACGCGAGCACACACACACATGCATACATATATATATATATTTTATATATATATGTGTATATATATATATATAAATTGTGCACGCGGAATTACGATTCGTTTTGGGACAACGCCTCGGCATTGATCGTTGCTCGATCTCCGAGTAAAAACTATAACGTATACTCGATAGCTTTATCTAGATAGATCGACTAAAATTGTTTCGTGTTTTTCCATCGATCGCGTGCTCTCTCCGCCAGTCGAGCCCACGAAAGATAGCGCTCCTTTGCTCGCGAGTCGCTCAACGATCAGCGAACAATCGAACGTGCGTTCGAAGGGAAGTGGCTGTTTAAAAAAGAAAAGAAAAATGTCCCTATAGTCCGTCGATGTCCCGCGTTTGGGTTTACGAATCTTCGCGATGAATCTACAGAATCCGTACAGAACACTAAAATATCGAACACGTTTCGAGATCTGTCTCTCTTTCTTCAAAGACGATTCCGTTCACAGTGGTGACGAAGGGAAACCAAACGACGATTCGGTCGAGCAAACACAACGTATTTTATATATCTATGTGTCTTTCGCACGCGCATGTGCGCGTTGTATACTCTTTGCGTTTCAAGAATTTTCTCGCGCGTTCTTCAGCTCGAACTTTGCCTCGTCCTTCTTGATTCTCTTCGTGGCCGTGGGTCCCTCAGCGTCGTCGTCGTTGTCGTCGTCGCTGCTGGGCATCGCTCGCTCCTCGGCCTCTAGGCTCAGCAGAGAGTCACCCTGGCCAGAGTTTCCCTCAGCGGCGTCTCTCAAAAATGGACGTCCCTCACATCGGTCGGCGTGCCCGCCTTCTCGTGTTCCAGGATCTTCTCCTGGCTGGTTATCTCGTCCCCCAGAGGCCTCTGCGACGTGCCCGAAAGAGATGATCCGGTCACCTGATGGCCGTTCCCGCCGGTACCGTCGGCACCCACTGCTTCAGATACCATCTCTTCGATTTGCTCCAGGCAACCTTGCAGGTAGTCCTGAAAGAAGAGGAAAACATCGATCGGTCTTATAATTGGCTTCTTAGATACGGCTCTAATATTTCAATCAGGGGCATTCTGAGAAACGTAGCGGGTCGGACAGGTTATCCTGGGAATCGAGATTGATAGATTTTGCGGAATATAATGATTATAAGTTACAGAACGTAATACTTGTTACGATTCTTGTTAGAAATTAGAAAGAAGGAGATCGATTTATGAATCGTTAGGGAATTTTGTTGCACGGCCGAAGGAACAGGAACGCGTAAGACAATTCGATTAATTAATCGAGCTAGCGTGTAATTTTGATCGACAAGAGAAAGTTCCAAGAAGCAGTTCGAGAGATGGTTCGCGAATCCAGCCAAGACGTCGCGCAAAAACGTGCTGATGAGCGGAGTGTAGCAGGTGTCGGGCACATGTTTACGGGGAAAAAAGTCACAGCGTGACGGGAAAGGGAAAAGACGATTCGAAACACGCGCAGACTATACATTCATAATGCGTCGAGTGCAAATAAAGTGCACGCGTGAATGGCTCGGCATGGGGTCTACGTCCTGTAAGCGCAATATTTTCGACGACCACATGTGTTTAGAAGCAGGAAGGAACGTATACCAAGAACTATGTTGGCCACCTGCCCCTCTGTTCATTCATAATCTCCAACCGTCCAGATTCGAACCAAAGCGAAAACCAACCTCTCCACGTGGTTTTTTAAACGTTTGTCTTTTATATTTCTAACGCAGTTCGACGAAAGACGAAACATCGAATAATTTCGACGTTCATCCATGCGTGAAACTTCACCGATAGGTGCTCCATATGTTAACGAGAACGAACCATTTGCGATGTTCGAGATCTTTGTTTTAAATTTAATTTTTTCTTTTTTTTTTTCACTTAAACGTTTTCCTTAAATCGTAAATCGAATCTGACGAAAGGTCCTTCGATTCCGCTATTTCGATGCATCTCTTTGCAATTGAACTTTGTTAATTAAAAATATCTGAGAAATCTCACATAGAAGCAGACACACAGAACCTGTCACGCAACGTTTATTTCCGACATTTCGGATAAACCAGGTGCAAATCAAGCTGCGACTATATCTACTCGTTGACAGTGCTATCCGAGGTTTCTCTCGGGCGTCGTGAAATAATATCAACACGAGGACAAACCTGTTCGATAGCCGTGATGCGAGTTAACTCGTCGAGGAGGCCGGCCAGCCCGTAACCGCTTTTCCCTGTCCAATCGAGACCGTGGAGGGCCGCTGCGACGCTCGCCGCCGCGATCATGCTCGGCGTATACATGGAGAATTTGTATTCTGCAAAAAAACATGTCCATTATCGAACTTATCAGTGTCTTATAATTATTAAAAATGATATTTACTAACTGAGCTTCAATTCCGTATAACGTACTCGTGAAAGGATCCTGTAAACGTTCAAATAATTTCGCAACTTTTTCTTCTAATTATCGAACGTAAAGTAACGGCTACTAATGGATGTTGAGCGTTTCGGTACAACGCCAACGAAATTTTAAAACGTTCCCCGTGTAATACATTCGTAGAAGGATCGTACAAGCGTCGCAATACTTTCGAGAGCAACCGCAACTACTCCCTTACCGTGTTTCGGCGAAAGAATTAGAATAAAAAGATCCGATCGCACTCGCGCGCATCGTCAAGTGTAAACAGTAAATTTCTCGACACTCACTCACGTGCATTAACCTTATTCCCATTGCATCCACATCCACCTGCATAACATCCACCGTGCACATAAAACTCCCTTACATTGCGCCTTAAATTCCAAACACACATCTTCTCAGCCATTCCGAGTAACACGAACGGCATACGAAGTAGCCGATTCTCGGCGAGGAACCTTCTTTCGAAACATCGAAAACACAACTAGAAAAAGACAAAAACACGTTACCATTATTTCCAAAAAAAAAAAAGAAAGAAACAGGGAAAGAGAAGGATAGGATAGTCCAACGTTCGATCGTATCTCGTGGTCGAAGCGCGTTAACAGAAGCGGCCATGAAAACGAATCCTAGAATTTCGTGTAACGTTTCATTCCACGTTCTGCTAATAAAAAATCTGCTAATAGAACCGCAGGTAGACACGTCCCAGGAAAAGGGTATTCGAAACGAGATTTACGACGTTGAAAAGTCCGGCCTTGGTGGTGCCAAGCCCAAAGGTTACCGACTCAGCAAACACCAGAACGCACAACCTACAACTCTCTCTTTATTTCTCCACTTCCCTGGCGCTTTTTAACACGGTCGAATTCCATCGTGAAAGCTTTCGCCACCTTAGCAAGCTGTGCTGATCTCCACGCTGTCCCCAGTGACTTTGAAAATGGGTCACCGGCAATGACGAACAATTGCCAGGGAATGGGCTACGGGGTCTTTTGTCTTCGTTAGGTTTAGGTACGAATTCGGTCCCGGTAATCACCTAACGGTACACCCATCTGGCCGAAAAACTGCCATCCAGGACTTTCTAATGCCTTTGTTGGCGGAATAGGTTGTAGTTCTTCTTCTTTTCTAATTTGTTGTTTCACGCCAAATTATCGGGAACAGATACTTTTATTAACCGAGACATTTTGTGTTAGGATTACGAAAAGTATTCGATACAGGTGACAGAAGGGTAGAAATCCACGTACTGTGTCGATATTCGCTCTGAACACGGTACACCTTAAAGTAACGTATACTGCCGGAAAAGAAACGAAAAGGCGGAGGAGTCCAAGTACGTCGTATTCATGCGACGAATAAAACTTCGCTGTACATCTTATACGATAAATACGATGTGGAAGAAGTAACGAGGGACCGACTGGCCGTGTCTTTAAATCGATCGGTTTGATGAAACGAGCTTGACGATTAGACGCGGCAACGGAGCGGCATGGGCGACGAGCGAACTATTCGCAAAACGGGCCTCGAAATCGACGATAAACGTGACGATCATCGACGCGATCGTATTCGTCCTTTTATGCCGGTGATATATAGTCCGGCGCGCGTTTTGTGTGGATTTTTCTCAAACGCGAGCGCTATTCATTCATGGGAAGATGGGAACAGGTTCCTGGACAACCGAAATGTCCGATGGACAAGCTGAAATTCAACGGGCAGCGTGTGTG